TATAATAATACCCAGAAGTACAATTGTTATTACATTCAACATTGTTGTTCAATACATTTCGTTCACAAGACTGGCACCCCTCTGGACATTTGACGCATTGATCTTGTTTATTAGAAAGATAAAATCCATCAGTGCATTGAGAACAAATTGTCCCAGATGTACAATTCACACAGTTTGCCATACAAACCGTGCATCCACCAATTGTATTTTTATAGTACCCATTTTGACATATTTTACATGTCCCAAGATCAGAACAAATATAACAGTCCCTTTTACAAATTTTACAACCGTATGACGTTTTATAATAACCTTCCTGACACTTATTACAAACGTTTCCATAGAGATAATAACCAGTGTTGCATTTCGAGCAAGAGGCCGCACTCCCGGGATTACTGGGTATTCCTTTATCACAATTTTTGACAGAACATTTCCATTTGGTTGCTGACCAATAATTCTCATTGTCTGTTCCACACCACCACTGGTTGTTATCAACAGATGTTGCACATTTAACAATATAATCTTCGTTGTTTACTTCACCGTTTCTTCGAGAATTATATAAACTGTATCCGTCATCGCATTGTTTACAATCTGTATAGCCACTAATACATTCTTTACAATTGTGATGATAAACATCATCACAATATCTGTTACTCATTTTTGAGGAAGAATTCTGTTTTTGAATAGAAGTGTTTTTAACATATATTAAGTGAAACAATTTTATATCGACAAATGTATTTAATATTTGGACACCATTTTGTATCACAGAAACGATTGTTTTGTTCAATGTAAAATCCAACGTTGTTGTTTTTTCAGAAATGTCGATTTCAAGCTCTTTTATGTCAAAGCATTTCATTTTCATGTATTCCATTTCACCCATATGAAGTTTGTTGTGATCTTGTTGTAATATATTTGAAATGTTACAAAATGTTTTTCGTTCATTAAAACATGCAAGAGTATCACTTTCCCAACACCATTGGAGTGAATATGAAAGGTTAAACAAGACAACGATGATCCATTTCATTTTGAAATAATTTTAGAGATTTTTCGTTGTTATTTGAAAAATCTTTTTTGATATTTCTGTGAAAATATATACTTAAAAAAGCATTGTATAGTCAGTCTGAAAACGTTGTCCGCTGTCCAACGTTGTCCAGGCATTTTTGGACCATCAAAACTGGAATATTACGGGAAACGATTCGAAACATTCCCAAAACATTGTTTCATAATTTTTACCGGGATTTGATCGTTTTTTCCTCATTCCTAAATTTTTCAACTTATTTTGTGTAAAATTTTGTCAAGCGGACAACGTTTTTAGACAGACTTTATTTATTTAATAATCGAACTAATTGTGGTGTTTTTATTTATAAATGTCTTTTTCGTTTTTAATTTCTTGCTTTATAATTTTTGTTTTGTGTTTGAAACCAGTTTTCATGTTGATAATGATAAAATAATTAAAATATAGGGTATCATTAAATTTCACAACTAATAAATAACCAATAGTTTTGTGGATTATTATCAACAAGAACAATATAAACTTGTGAAACAAAAACTTGTTATAAAGTCTGTCTAAAAACGTTGTCCGCTTGTAAAACGTTGTCC